GATATTGTCTGTGGAGCGATTCAAGTCACTTCATTTACTTCGATTTCTCGACAAACCCTTTAAGTCTTAGCAAACATCGCTGATGCATCAACTCACTGGAGAAGCCCACGTGGTTAATTGAGATAACAGCAACATCATTGGCGATCGTGGAAGGGTTCCAGCTGCCGTGCATTTGAACGTTGCGCGTGTTGATCCTAGTGCCGCCGGAGAAGAGGCGTACGGAGCCCAACACGACGGTCACCTCACGACCTTGGTGCCTGCCATCGAACCAGCAATGAGCGGCTGTCACCAGACGAGTGTTGCTCAGCAGAGAGGAGCCACAGACGGACTGGGCACCGGTCGTCAAGGTAATAATTAGACCTCCCTGAGAACATTAACACTACGTTATACGTATACTACATTATAATTTCATGCAGGTATCTAAATACATTAACTCTCTGCCAACAAAATGTTGTACACATCTTGATGTAGATATTCTGCATTTTAAATGTATTATTGAACAGAACTATCTATATCTTTTCTTATTTATAAGATCAACTTTGTTCAATTTAGTGAAAATCAATTGGACATACCAAGTAAGGATATTGGCCGAGGTTGGCCGCAGATCCTCCCACAATCCTGGAGCCGTCAAAGTCTACACCTTCCTCCACCTGCTTAATGCGAGCTGCCTCTGGGATGCCCACGTTCTCGTGGTAGTAGAGCAGTGGCGCCTCGTAGCAGAGGGCTGCGGACACGAGGCTGAACAGAACTATAATGGAGAGCTTCATCTTGGAACGCGGAGGGACAGACGGTTTCACTGTTCCACTTCTAGCTTTTATACAGGACTGCGCTGGCCGATGCCATATCTAATCTCACAGGCTTAAGATTAAATTATAAATAAGTAAGTTGGTAACACTTAGTATGAATCTTCATTAATTTCAGATCTTCTCAAATTTATCGTATACTTAAAATTATACAAAGATATTTTTTTGAAACAAAGTCAGAAGATTCGATAATGGAAAATAATGAGTAGTTTCTCCTATCTACAGTTAGAAGGTACAGCTCAGTCCAGCTCAGCGCCTTAGTCCCTGCTGTATTCTCTTACTTCTACTCCCGAAATTTTTATTTCCTAATCATATTTATAATAATGCCGATGGACTTGAATAGCAACTCCCCATATCTTCCCGTAGGTATCATGAAGGCGATTTAGAAGGAGTTAAAAAGTACTGACCACCTGTAACTTTTTCATCATTATACAGTTTTTATTTATTTATTTATTCCGTTAACACAAAAAACATTATTGAAATTATTAAGTACTATTATAATATTATGCTAAAAATAAAATTATTTTGGAATAAAATATTCCCCAACTATCGGCAAATACGTCAGCATCCTGGATTTCGGACAGAAATTCATTTAACAGCGCAATTGCCCTGGCCGTTGGACAGTTCCTACGAGTAGATGCAACTTTCGCCTGTGGTTTAGGGTATCCAATCCAACCATACCTGACACAAAAAGCGACGGAAACAAAAACGGATAATAACCATATAACCTCTAATACAGGTACCGAGCAAACTTACGCTGAACTCTCTCTATGAGCATATTGTATTTTGATTCCCGAGGGTCCCAAACAATGCAATTATATTCCAGCTTGCTACGTACAAAGGCATAATACAGGACAATATGACACTCTGAAACTGTGAACCTGCGCGCATTATAAGTCCTAAGGCTTTATTGGCGCTCTTGCATGTACGAATGATGTGCTGATGATAGTCCAATTTATCATCTACGCTCAAGCCTAAGTCCCGAGTACTGTGAACCCTGTCCAATATGCTACCTTCCAAGTTATAGGAATACTCAACAGCTGCCGGAAAACGCGTGAACGAGATGACTTTGCACTTCCCCGCGTTGAACGATAATTAATCTGTTTATTTCAGGCAACTTAAGCCTATAAAGCCTATCTTTCTTTCTTCTTTCTTTCTTAAAATTTCACACACAGTTACATAACATCTAAATCAAAATCAAAATATCCCCTTGTTTTGCCCAATATATTATTTAGTCATTCAGTCAATTGAACCCAAACAATTTTAAATGATTTTGATTTTATCTTTCGTTTGTTTCTTTTATATCGTTTCTAGATAAGTTTGTTTTACATTTACTTTTATTTATCACACCCCAAAAAAATGACAAGGTAAATTTCATAACCCCTTCCCCTTTTCTGTTTTATTTTATCTTTTGTTTTTTCTTGTATTTTCTTTTATGTTTTGGAATCCCGCTCGAGCTTTTTCGACATGACGCACGGGAAATGCTAGGCTCTGTTGGGCTCCCTTCCGATGGAACGGTGAGCCGGCGCTGCTTACGCATCTTCCAGCCGTCTGGCCTTGGCTACAGGGGCACGCCCTGCAGAGGGGGGTACCGGTGGATACATATTGATAACACAACTTTATTGCTGCTGTACATTTGAAAAATACAAAAGAATGGTTAAGTGTGGAGCTTGTGGTAAGTTCTTGTCAAGCACGTCAAGAACTTAACTGCCAAAACTCCCGCACTCTCGCAGTTAAAAACAAGTCATCATCAGTCGTCCCACAGCAAGCCAGTATCGCAGCCTTAGCAGGTCCTTCCCTGCCTCATCACCCCGCTACCGCCCGTCGCAGCCCACGACCGGATCACACTTGGGGTCGCACATCTCCGGCGTGGGAGCTGTGCCCTACATGGACTATTCACGACACCGACACAGCATTCTCAATTCTCAGAGGAACCAATCATTCGTTTCGCTGAGACGAGTGGACGGCGATGCGACTGAGATGCGTCTGAATTTCCGATTTCCAGGTCAAGTTGAATCTTACGATGATCTTTACTAGTCTTTGGGCTCGGGTAATAACTTTATGCGAGCCAGCTCGTGATGCTGGCTGCCATCTGTAGCGATTAACAAATATATTTATCAGTCGCGATCTTCGATCTGGGTGTTTTTGTTTCTCTTTACTCTTATTGAAAATCCAAAATAAACAATTATTGTCGTGTCTTCACTCTCCATCTATTAAACCCGAAGAACGAATATTGGGCGCAGCAATAAACTTGATCGATATCTAGATATTAGTTCAGATTAACTGTATCAACTGACATTGAGCCCGCAGATTAATTATCGACCTACACCACTGCACACACTTCATATTCAATAACAAACAATGCCTAAATATGTAGATTAATTATATTTGTAGAACATCAGCGATACCACAACCTGCACATAATCAATTGTGTATAATCATTTAATCTACAATAATTTAAATGAACTGTTGTCATGTGTGGACTACATCAAAATGAATACAGGGCTCCACTAATTAATTATACAGTATTATACATTGTGATAAGTTTCAAGATGTGAAGGAATATAATTTGCTGGTTGTTCGTACATCTTATGTGTGTGCTGGTATATAAGACTAAACTTAGTTACAAAGAAATACTGACAAGTGGGTCGATAAATATTTTACATCAGGTGGGATGTATGCCTGCAAGGGCCATAAAATTTAAAAAATCTCCTTGATCCTGATTTGATCTTGCAGGGAAACAGCATAGCCGCTCTCTCTATTTCACTTTGGATGTCTCCGTGCCTTCTAACAAGGCCCATTGTGAGCGACCACGTCTCAGTGCCATATGTCTTCACTAGCAACACACACTGGTCAAAGACGATTGTCTCGAGACACTGACTGTACTAGCTTACCGAACGCTGTCCAACCGAGTTGGATTCGACTTTTGACCTTTTTTCGAAGTTGGTCTTCTTTCTTGGTCTTCTTTTCGAAGTTGGAACGGTTTTAAAGTTCGAGTTGAAATGCCCAGGAGATGGGATCTGAGCTGGTGCTGGACGGAGTGTGGACCTAATTTGTCGGAATCCCTCTAGCTTGAGAATGAGGTTCAATGTGCCATCTTACCATCCAATGATCAGTTCCGGTTTTAGCCGTATTGAGCACAGAGACATCATTGAATATTTGCCTTTTTATCGACCTAATGAAATCTATAAACATGTTGGGGCTCCGTCGGGTCCAATTCCTGTGATCCCAATTCCTGAAGTAAGAGCTCATCATAAATAATAGGGGTTAAAGTATGAAATTGCTGATTTATACTGAATAACTGAAATTCGTTTTTTTTTTCATTTAACATATTTATTTAACAAAATATCTACCATTATTATTTATACATTGCTGCGATCTAATAGGAAGTTCTATTATGCCTTTGCGATAGAACTCTGATGATCTAGATCCTACAAACTGTGTGAAAACATTTTGTACTGCCTCTTGGGAAGAAAACTTTTTATCACGTAGAAATACGTGAAACGAAATACGGTAAAAAACGGTAGTCCTTAGAGCAAGGTCTGGCGAACGCGGAGGGTGACGTACTCGTCGAACTCGACGAAGAGTTCGACATTATTACTGATGGTAGGACCTCTTGTGAGTCCGCGCGGGTGGGTACCACCACCCTGCCTATTTCTACCGTGAAGCGGTAATGCGTTTCGGTTTGAAGGGTGGGGCAGCCGTTGTAACTATACTGAGACCTTAGAACTTATATCTCAAGGTGGGTGGTGCATTTACGTTGTGGATGTCTGTGGGCTCCAGTAACCACTTAACACCAGGTGGGCTGTGAGCTCGTCCACTCATCTAAGCAATAAAATAAAAAAAAAACTTCAATCGTAGTCGTACTACTCGTACGTGAAATAAAAACAACCGATTGCTTAAAACAGCAAAAATATAAATTATGTTTGTTTCTCGGGCAGACTCCCGACACGCTATGAAATATGTATTTATATTATAATTCAGAGATGGTATTGGATAAGCACCTTATCAAGTTTCATCTATAGCTATCCAACACAATTTAACTAAAGTACATATAATGTAAGATACCTCGACACCGGTAACTAATCAACAACGATCCCTTACGAAGGTCTTCAGGAACTAGATAAGATATTAACTACAGTTATTATATAAAGGCCCTAACTTGTATAAACAGGCAAATATAGTTAACTTTGAAACATGATACACATATTCGTAGGACTGCTGGTGTTCGTGTCGCCTTCTCTTGCGGTGGAGTCCATATTGACCAACTACCACGAGGCCGTAGGAATCCCACAGGCGCAAAGGATCAAAGGAACGGAAAATGCTGTTGACTTCGATGGCACCAGGATCGTCGGCGGATCCGCAGCGTCCGCGGGGTCACATCCGCACTTGGTAACATTATTAGTTTTATTTCCATGTGTTGTATTGTAATACTCCGATCAATATACAACTATGATGCTCAGAACGACAGTAGACTCAATCTGCAGGGCACCTTGATCTAGAACGTCTTGCAACATCCACAAAAACACTTTACACACAAATTAGCCCTCGTCGCCCTTGATTGAACTCTTCCCGGTCGCGTGCATCCCTTCACGTTCACCTGTGACAACCCGTGATACAAGAGAGTGAGTGTGAATTAGAGAATGCAGAATCTGGTGCTCGTTTATTTCCATCACCTAATTGAAAATATACTTTTGATATTCACTTTCATTCTTCCACGCTACAATATTAATAGACTCTATCATTCTAAGTGTAATTAAATACTGAAACTATGTACATCATTTTATTTATTTTTTAATAAATATACAAATAAAAAAATATCACAATGCCAAATAAGAACTTGAATTGAATGATTCTAATATGTTTCTCAAAGGCGTTTTCGTGTTAATTGAAAAAATAATTAATTACAGTGTGATTGTAAAAATATAATATAGTCTATCTATAATCTAGAAAACAAATCAGCCCTTATCCCTCTGACCTGGCCTTTCTTTGTTCACTGACGTCTACCCCGGTGCCTTCCGCTCAGTTCCGCGGGGTTTGTCTTTTCTTTTTGTGTAAGTGTCCATGATTCGCATTTGTACAATACGATCGGCCTGACTATGGTCTCGTATGTCCAAATCTTGTCTAAACTCAGCACCTCCGAACGAGAGAGCCTAGTGTAGGGCTGCACTGCATCGCAGGGTACAGTACAGCCAAGGTACCAGAATTATGCTACTTACTTGTACTTCATATTCCCCACTACTGGGTCTTCTCGTTTCCGTCTTCATGTTTGTATCGACGCATGTGGAGACGCTCCGCCTTTTCGTGGCTCAACGAAGGCCAATCCGCGAGGCTTTCTGTTAGAGTCATTTGACCGCGTCTGTATCGTGCTGCTTCGTTTTTCCTAGCAGAGCAATGACATTGGCATACCTCTATCCATCGATCGTAGATCGTTAGATGGGCCGCTCCATACTAAAAGGCGTACAGTATTATGTCATCACTCAAAGAGGTGCACGCACAACTCTTGTCTTAGTACGCGACAAGAGCGTGCTGTGAGCGGACGCGCGCTTAAAACAAATATTTTACTTTTTTCTTGTTTAAACATTTAATTATGCCTTCGGGTTCATTTTGGAATTGTTAAAACACAAGTCGAAACACAAATAAAGACAAAGGTATTACTTTTTAATGCTTAATTATTTGTAAACCATTTAATTTGATTTATTTAAAACACACGTCTCGAGCGGCTTAGCGGGATGAAGAAGAGGCGTGAGGGGTGGAGAAGCGGCCGGCCGCCAAAGATTATGTACTAAACAGAATGGTCAAAGTTCTGAAGGTATCTGAACGATGAAGGTAGCTGAATGATCTCTATACGGCACTGTTCCTTTTTGTGCAACTGGAATTAAATAAAATTATATACTATGATATGAAATACTTTAAAATAGCAATGACGTAATAACTTTCATTATGAGTGATTTTTGTTTCTATTTTCTACAATCTTAAGTTTATATGTATATCAACGGTATCATTATATTTTTATACAGTACAGGGATTATCTTTTATACTCCGGGAGCTGGCTACAAAGTATGCGATCATTTTTTTGTCAATTTTAGTTTCCCTCGAGATCCGCGAGTTAAAGAGAATGTATTGAAGTAAGTGGATTTTTGACGGACTTTAATTTAATTAAAGTGATTGAGTAACTGTGCATAATAGTTTCTCACAGATTGGTTTTATATATTATATTATTATTTAACGTATTCTAAATAAATTATTTTATTTTATTACTTATTATTTTTTTTCTATCATTCTGTGTACTGTGTACTGTAAGAAATCAGGTTATAAACATATATAAACATAATATATATAAACTTCAGAAATCAGAAGTTTATCACTTCTGATCAATATTCTATTTATTCTATGACGAGTGATGACTTACCCAACGTGCGAAAACTGCGAAACTAATGGCAATTCCGCGACGAGTGGGGGCCTATCTAACGATCTACGATCGATGCCTCAAGCACCTTGTGCTGTCTAATGAAGCGCACTCTGTCGCGAAGGGTATAATACACTTTGCGTACAATGTGTGCAAGTGTCACGTTGAACCGTTAAACCTCCTCGGAAAGCTAAAGCAGCTGAGAATTCTATACAGAATCTACTTGTCTTTAGCTAGAGCTTAGACCGAACGTATGCTTTGTGACTACTTGCACCCTTTCTCATTAATTGTTTCAGAACAAAGATTTGCTCGACTGTGCTACGATTGCGCCTGAAGCCACCCTGATAATCACCAAATAATAATTTTTTTGAGTATCGTTCGGATCTGCTTAATATGATGACGGAAAAGAGTTTATACGCTGTGGGAACAAAGCTATTCCTCTGTAGTTTGTTGCCGTATTTTTGTCCGGCTGTCTTTTTATTTAAGGGATAGACGATCCCTTATTCCACTGAACTGGTTCCAGTTCCGACTTCCACATCCTCTTCCTAAGATTGCCTGGATGGGACAGTCCGGATTGCAACACTTTTCCGCCGTATTTCCAAAATTCAGATAGTAAATTGTCAATGTTCAGTTCAAAAGTTCAGAAGGTCTTTAAAATTCTGAGGTCACATGTTACTGATATCTTTCAAATGATCGTCCTTGCTATATTTACCAATAATCGGCACAAAAATGTAGTCCTTCCCCACGTGCGTTGACATCATACTCTGGGCAGGACCAACGCGCTCGTCCAGACAATTTACATTTACAGTATGGACACTTTGATTACGCTAAGTTTTTTAGTAAACTTAATACTGGATTCGACTCACTTGATAGCCTGAAGTCATCGCTCGCTTAAAGTTTGTATAATTGTTATTTGCTTTGTTTGGCCAAAGTTAGACTAGCGGCAAGTGTGTTCCCCTCGAGGCGAGGTGACAGTTTTGTTTTGGTGAATGTCGGTTATATGATTCGTTATTAGGCACACATTAGGCTAGGCACACTCACACTGAAATGCCTCAAACTCTCTTATATTCAATTGAATTCATGAAGTTCCGACAATCGCGTCATGTAGCCCGGCATTTTGTTCTCTTCGTTAGTTTCGTTGATCTGGAGGGCGCAGGGTCAGAAGAACGATTAAAGCTTTGACTCTATGTGCATTTTAGAATTTTTGTTCATTTTATAAGTTTTTTCTAATATACTCTGTTTGTATTGTGCCTCATTTCTTCATTTGGCTTAACAGTATCCTATATTATAAAAATAATTTTCGATTATAACATTTTCGTTCCCAGGGCGGGCTCGTGATTACCCTAACGTCAGGTGGAACTTCAGTGTGCGGGTCGTCCATGCTATCGAACACGCGAGCGGTGACAGCCGCCCACTGCTGGCGCGACAACAGGAACCAAGCGAGGCACTTCACCGTGGTGTTCGGCTCCACCCGGCTGTTCTCGGGCGGGACGCGACTGACCACCTCCAGCGTGGCGCTGCACTCCGGGTACAACGCCAATACGCTCGTCAATGACGTCGCCATGATCTCATTCAACAACGTCGCTTATACGAGTAAGTTCTATGACTCAGAATCGCTGCACAAACCATTCATTTAAAAAAACAATTTGAAAATGAAGCTACAGCCCTATCCGTAATCCATTTGATGAGTAAGAGGTATCATAGGAAGTAATAACAAGCCATAGCACCAAGATCCTGTCAAGCAAATGCAATCTATGCATCTTACCACACGCCGCAGCGCACGGCCTCACAAAACAACGTTACGATCTCAACTTTCATCCGCGTACCTTACAATGCCTTCCTCGCTCACAGATATCATCCAACGGATCAGCCTGCCAAGCGGCTCTCTGCTCACCTCCAACTTCGCTGGTACCATGGCACAGGCGGCAGGGTTCGGAAGGACCAGTGATAGTAAGCGATTTTGTGATATAATGAGATGATGACAAGGATTACAACGTATGTTCTGATGTACCACCACCAAAAAGGAAACCCTAAAGGTCGCTGCACTCAGGGTTTTACTAGGGAACTCTTCAACGATCAGCAGCTCCATGATATGATGTCTGCAATCAGGGTTGTGTCTTCATTAGGGAACTCTTCAGTGTTTAGCAGCGTGCAAAATATTGTGCTTTCAATTATGATAACCCATATTTATCATCAACTCGCTGTTGTCGTGTGGCCCTCGGGTGCCCTCGGATCAAGAACCGTCCTACTATCAACACCACAGGTACAGATATTTTTCCACGGATTCAACAACGCGAGCCGGCTCTGACACCTCGGGTCGCTTCATACTATGACTTATTCATTTGATCTCGTCAAGGAGGTGATTGGCAATCTGTATAAAAAAAGGAAAGCTCCGAAATCCAATTCGGCACTGTCTCTAATGTGCGGTCGCCACGCGTGATAATTCGACCCCAGCGGTCATCTGTCCTACGAGCAATGCGCCCTGCTCCGTACCACTTCAAACTCGTGATCCTTCGGGCTGTGGCGGTTACCGCTGCGAATATTATTATTCCCCATTCGATCTCGCAAGAAACCTCCGAGCATACCCCTCTTCATTGCTTTAACATTTACATAATTAATTAGTTGTACCAACAAAGTGATCCAACTATTCAAAACAACAGTGGACTTTAGATCATGCCGAAACATAAATTTCACAGCGTTCAAGTAAAACAGTGTATTGGGATATGTATTTGTACTTTATTTGAAAGTAATACACTTTCAAATAAAGTACATGGGGTAATGTATTTTATTTAAAAATTATGCCATTTTGTGAGGTGTAGATCAACATCATACCTGTTCAAAACTGTTCAAAAACAGACGCAGCCATAACTAACAACCAGTTCCTGAGTCACGTGACCCTACAAGTCATCACTAACTCCGTGTGCCAAAGAGCATTCGGCAACATAGTGGTGGCGTCCACCCTGTGCACCAGCGGGGACGGCGGCCGCAGCACCTGCAGCGGGGACTCCGGCGGGCCGCTCGCCATCACCAGCGCCGGGCAGCGCGTCCTGGTCAGTAGCCAGTGAACTTTGTGGTGGCAGTTTTAACTTTGCAGGCGTGAAGTCCGGCACGCCTAGCTATTATAATATTATATGTCAATGTAAGGCAGTGTGGTCGCGAGTTATCACCATTTGTTACAACGCTATTATTTATGTTAAGTCTGCACGGCTTGGTACCAACCGCCGCGCCGGCAACATTGCCTTGCTAAGTCTATAGGCTCTGACCCCCTCTGAAGACCAGGGAGACCTCAGAACAGGGAGCTAAAGTCATCTGCCCGTTTAAGTCTATTCTGATTGAGGTTCACACCCTCGTTACAGATCGGCATCACGTCGTTCGGGTCGTCGCGCGGCTGCCAGCGCGGCTTCCCCGCCGGGTTCGCGCGGGTCACCGCCTTCCGCTCCTGGATACAACAGCGTCTATAGTGGCCCTATTACATACCAATACCCTTAGATATCTACAAGCGTGGTTAAAATATTAATACTATTTTTTTTATTTTTTTTTTTCTTAGATGGGTGTACGAGCTCACAGCCCACCTAATGTTAAGTGGTTACTGGAGCCCATAGACATCTACAACGCAAATGCGCAACCCACCCTGAGATATAAGTTCTAAGGTCTCAGTATAGTTACAACGGCTGCCCCACCCTTCAAGCCGAAACGCATTACTGCTTCACGGCAGAAATAGGCGGGGTGGTGGTACCTACCCGCGCGGACTCACAAGAGGTCCTACCACCAGTCACTATCTTGTTAGTTTTAGGAATATTAATACTATGTGAGAAAATTTGTGATTGCGATGAGGTTTTGCTTTCGATCTTAGGAGTACTGCCAAGTTATACCACATAGTCTGTATTACGATGTATAACAATCAAATATTTGTGTACATAATCATATCATCTTTGACTTTTAATAGAACGTTATAAATAAGTGGTTTTCACAGTTTACATAATTAAACATTAAAGTAATACGAGACAGAGGCTCGCCGCGAGCCGCGCCGCATCCCTCAGCCCGTGAGGCTGCGGACGGACATCCGCCGTCGTCATGTACTGTTTATATGTATTATACTATAGGAGAACTAACACGTAATATTATATTATACTATTATACTAGGAGTTCTACGAACGCGAATGTTGTAAAATGTTAGCTAATATTAAAAAGATCGGAAATTATAAAGTGAAATTATTAAACCCTAAAACATTAAACCGCAAAAGTGTTTTAATTTACCCCTAACAGTTTTAACATCCCCTCCAGGCTCTGACAGCGTCCTTTACACCCAAACAACCAGACAAGCAGATGATCTTACGGTCCGCCCGACATTAGCTGTTATCGCGAAATGAACGCTGCGAAAGTTTCTTGCGCCCTTCACAAACCGGTTCAGTCTGTAGGTAGCCGCTCTTCTTAATAACTCGACAGTTCTTCGAAGACCAGGGGGTCACCCTGTTCCTTAGAACATCTTCTACTGAGCGGGCGAGACTGCTCGGTGGACGGACAGTATTTTTTTTTTTAATACGTTCACACAACTGGATAAAATTTGCACTCATAAACATTGAACTTATTTACATAAAATAATACATTATAGAATTCACCCCTTTGGGTGTGAACACATCTTGCTTAAGAGCGTTTGTGCTTAAGATAAAAAAATCGTTAACTAATATTAAAATTAAGACAAAGGAAACAAAAAAAAAGTAAAAACTGCATATAAAAACTTACAAAAAAAAACAATAAAAATAAAAAATATAAAGAGGGAAATTAATGTTCAATAGAGATCAAAATAAATGTGGTTGGTCTACAGCTCGGTGTGGATCACGGAACTTAAATTGATTTTAAGTGAGGCTAGAGAAGCATGGCAAACAAATATGATAAATAAATATGAAGCAGATGGGTACTGCTCAAGCACGCGGTTAGTCCCCTCTTGCACATGCTCAAACAGAGCTGAACCTGCATCACTGCTGTGGGACATGTACAGGCACGCGTAGACTCGGGTACAACCCCCGTGATCTACGCACAGCCACAAGAGGGACAGGTCCCGTTGTTCGAGGCCCCGAAGACGGCGACAACAGACATCAGCCCGGACGAATACGCACACCCCGGCTTTACGCAGGAAGTTGTGCTCCAATACGTAGCCGGGGTATTCAAGGTATGAGGTATCATCCGGAGCAGATATCTGCGTCTCCGTTAAAAAAAGCAGGGCAGGCTGCGCCGTCTCAAGGTGGTGGTGTACGGCGTCAAGGTTGCTATGTAGGCCCCTGACATTGCTGAAATCCACATTAAATGTGGAATGGGGAACCGCCTGTGAAACCCTTTTCTTTTTTTTTGTCGACTTCATGATTTTAAATTTTCCGAGAATAGGATTAGGAGAGGTAGGATGTTGGAGGTGAGATCGAGGCAACACCTGAATGAAGCGCGGAACATGTACGTGCTCGACCATGGGTTGCGTGAGAGACTGACGCAGGGCATGGAAGGGCCCCCAGTCCACTCTGCGTGCGATCGCCGGGATCCACTCCGGTCTCCGACTCCGGCACGACGACCACACGACAGGATTTTACGCCGGTTGGCGGGACAGCTTCCCGGGGCGGAGTTTAGTAGAGATACCCGGGTTCAGGTCCCCTACTGACGGGCGGGCGGCAGCGGGTACCGTTTCACTGGGTCTCCCTATACCCCCGTCAAACAATCACGCCCCGTGAGTTCGCACGGACGTCTGCTCCGCAAGTTCCAGGCGTCACCAAGACTCACCCCCAACAAGGAAGGGGAAAGGGAAGGGATAGAACTGGCTCTCCAACCCACACGCCGCAACACAGCTAGGCTATTTGGCGGCGGACTCTAGTTGGAGGGTGGTCGCCAGCCAGTCGGACAAGTCCTACCACCGGTTATGTTTTCGGCTCCCGTTTAGCACCACCCAGGGGTCACTTGTAGGGAATCGCGGGTTAAACCTACGGAAGCGGGAAGCACCAACCCCCATTTTGATACCTTTTTCACAAAAGTATGGCCCAGTCACTCCTTCATAGCTAATACCCCACCAAACCATCACTGAAGTCGGATAGTGCCCACGTTGCTCTCTGTCGACTAATTGGGAAGCTTCCTTAGAGCTTTGAGCATAAATACGGTCATTTTGTTTGTTAAAATGTTGCTCAATTGTAAAAAAATTCTCATCCGTAAACAAAATTTTTCTATGACCTCCCTTTGCGTACCGCTTCTGTAGTTGTTTTGATTTGACCACCCTATTCTCTTTTAAATTATCAGTTAAGAAATGACCAGTACGTCTCTTATAGGCTGCAAGTCCTAAGTCATCTTTTAAAATACGCGACATGGTTCTAGGTGCTATCTTCATCTCCTTTGCCTCCTTTTGCTTTCGGACAGGATTTCTTCGAATTCTTTCCCTTACTGCTTTGACCACCTTTTTCGTACGAACACTACGTGGACGGCCAGATCTTTTTCTGTCACAAACAGAGAAGGTCTCATTGCACCTATTAATAGCCCGGTACACAAACATTTTACTAATACCAAGCGTATGGAGAGTTTTAAAAATTGCATTTGGCTCCATACCTACCTTGTGTAATGCAATCACAGCGATTCGGTTCTCTTTATCATCCCACTCCATTTTAATATCGCAAAATATTGTACAATGTATTGGCGCCAAAATGAAAAAACTCAATGAGCAATCATATAAAAATTACAGATTCCAAATTCCAGATTCCGATTTTGTTTATTTTTAATTGTAACAGTATTTATGGCGAGACTAAGTATACCCCTCATGAATGGCGTTTATTAGTAAGATGCGCCAAGAATGAAGGAGAACCCTATGTTGCTCGAAACGTAGCTCAGGATGACGTATTCGACTTTAAAAGTCTTGTTAATAATAAGGTTTGGATGAAAGACATTAAGGGCAAGAAGATTAACTGGAATAACATTCGAGATGTTCATGCCGATAGTAATGATCCCAACAAATTGTTTTTTGAATATGATCCAACTCAACCTGATTAAGATATTTTAGTAATTCGTGGCAATACGAGGAACTCGGTACAAGCTGAACTAAAAGCTGCATATTCTGGACCTATTATGATTCCTGCTGCGAAGTACCAAAATTTTATGGACATGTGCCGCTCAGAAGTGTAGTGTAGTGTACTCCCTTAGAGTATCATCCATACTTTAACTCTTTGCCACATCACATAACTGTTGCTGTTTCTGAAGAATCGGATGACGATCTATCGGAATAATTTTATCTAGTGTCTGTTTCCTCTTTTTAGAGCTGAATTCTTCCTCATAATTTAGCGAAGCAACGTTAATTATAATATTTATTGTTTGTCTACATGCCATTTCATTGCTATTAAGTGTGTGCACCATTTATAAGTCTCGGTTACGATGTAAGACTGATTGATTAATTATGAAGGCTGATTATTATAGATTAGTGATTAGTAGATTAGTTATATGATTAGTGAGTAGATAACTTTGAGAGTGCTGATTTTAGTGTTGTTAAAAAAAATATCAGTTTTATTATCTTGCTCCGACTTCATCATTTATGATAATTCTTTACACCAGTTTTGAGATTTTTTCACGTAATAAGCGATTTTAAATAATTACTTTCTTTTTTATTTAGTTATATAGGGGGGTAGTCATGATATGAGGAACGTTATGTTTAAATATTTCAAGGTGGTTATTTACGTAGAACTCATTAGTAGTTAGTAATTCCAAAGAAAACCGACACATGTTAATATAGAACCTCATTCAATTTACATGTGTCCATAAAACAACGTGTAACGTTCACTAAGGACCCTCGCTGTTTCGCCGTAAAACGTCTTATGTTAATATAGAACTCACTATCTCCAGAAATAAAAGAATAAGAGTTATAAGCTACACAGTATTTAACAAAGCTGACACGTAGTAACAACATACCAAAAAATTTCAACGACAAGTCGCACCGTTTCAAAGTTACACAAGTCAACAACTTCTTTAACCTCTACTGAAAACTATCAATCCTACAGATAGGACTATATTCTGCGCATGAGTTCTGATTTAATAAAGGTCGCAGTAAGACATGGCGTCTAAAAATTCTGTATAGACACTATTCCCTGATGTTGATGGGGTCATATATGCAAAAGAGTTATCTTTACACCACTCAATATCCCTCATAATATTAAAGTCTCCTACTAAAAGAAATAATGGTTCAGTAACACCTTTTGTCATGTTGTTGTGAATAACCTGCACAGTATTTTTGGTAAAAATGTCGACATAATCAACATTCAAAGCCGATGGGATGTACACAGCACAAACATTTAACACCATTTTGCCTATTTTCAAGGTCAGCCATAAATCCTCACATTGTGATACCCAATCAGTTTACGTACGACGTGAAATGATTTCTTGACTGCTATTAAAACCCCTCCACCATCCTTTTTGGTGCTATAAGAGCAAGTAGAGGATTTATCTCTGCGAAATACATTATAACGATGGTCAAACAACTTGTAGTCAAATATACTATCACTAGGCCAGGACTCTGTTATAATAATAATATCATAATCGTTTTGTAACACCGATACACATACATAAAAGAAATCATCCGCCTTAGTTCTCAAACCTCTTACATTTTGATAAAATAATTTAGCTGTGAATTTTATTTGTAAAAGCTTAGGTAGCATACAATACAAAGAACAAATTACAAAAAAAAAAATAACGGTTAAGTCACAGCTTATACAAGCAATCTACAGTCTTAACATTAATGTGGCCGGCAGAAATATCCTTACGTACGAAGTTGCGACCATTTCGTATCCAAATAAACTTGTAATTCTTCTCCTCGGCGGCTATTCTAGTAGCGGCATGAAGCTTCTTGTGACAAGTGAGAATACACAGGCTTGTTGAGCTTCACCAGGAAGCTCAACATGGGAAGTGTTAAGTTTGTGATCTGTGCTTGTCTTTATTTTAACTGAAGCAAGGAGATTGTCTCGAGTACGTGGCCACTTTAACTTCACTACAATATTTTTCGGACGATTCGAATTGATATTCTGCTTAGCAACTCTGTGGAATTCCAGAATATCAGTTCTGTATATGCAAACTTATTTTGAAAATGCCTTTATCGAGAATCAGGCTTCTGTCAAATGTATTGTGTTCTGCGATAGCTGCCCACTACAAACATTCCTGGACAAGTTGTTGACAGATGGCGTTACGTATGTAGGACTGAACGGTCCACAGATGTTGGAAGCGGACCGCAGGCCCAAGGAATGGAATTTGTGACCCTACCCACTAAACTACTCCCCTGCGCTCTCGTCCACGCGTCCGATCCCCCCCTGAGGTCAGAACCCGAATGAGGTAAGGGGGTTATCGCGGTCAGAACTGCAACCAGACAGCGCAGCCCACCCCATGGACGCTCGGCTAGCGGAGCCTTGGAGGCGAAGAACGAAGGTTTTAGAATGTCAGCCGTTTTGTTACGGCAAGCCGTCATGCTGCTCGACGGTGTCGCTGGTGTCCTGGAATACCCCGCTGGGCCAGAACCAGCCTGCCGGGTTAGGACGCGATGCACCGTCTACTGGTCGCTCTTACGATGTTAATCCTTGACGGCGCGCTAGGGTGATGGTAGCGTGCCGTGCGGTCTCGACCCCCTCTGGCTGCTCCGTGACCTTCACCTGGGGGAGCGCGCCTCCTGCAGGGGCCGGGACGTACGCTCGTACTGTTTCCTCTGTACCTCGACTCGACGGCGACGGATCGGTATGGAGGGGGAAAACTTGCACAACAGCACAAGTCGAGTCGCCTTCCAGAACGCGTCGCTGCCGAGCATTTTACGAAGGATAGCAGCGACAGGTCCACTTATAGGACCGCGATGAGAGCGGTGCGCCAGTGTATGTTCCGCCGTGTCTTCCTCGTGGCAGTCGCTGCAGTGGTGGCACTGAGCCGTCGATTCCTTCCAGGCAACACGATGCAGTTACCAACCAAAACAATCGTGGCCGATGAAGCATCAGCCAGAAGGTGAGGCGTCCACGGTCGCGGCCCACCCAGTTTGCAAGGATCGGGTGAACCGTCTCGACGCGACGATATGGACCTAGAGTCCATCAGTCTGCATCAACGTGCCATTTCGGAAAAACGGCGCGACACAAAAACCCTCTTATCGTGCCGCCGGTAACTACATTCCCGATACTGCGGACCGAATGGTAAACAGTCGATGTCCAAACCAAGCTGTTGATATGATAAGGTTGTGTTTTGAGTGGCTTTATATTTGAAAATACGTGTGTTTTGTGCAGCACTTTCTATGACACTGATTAATCTTTTTAAAATAATAGAAATATGATAGTGACGGGCCGTAACACTTTACATACAAGGAGTATTAATATAATGTTATACAAATAAATTGAACACAAGCCATTTTGGATCCACCCGATTTGACAAATATTTGATTTTATTCAAACAATTTATTATTAACATAGTACGAATCGTGATAAGTACAGGAAGACTGATAGCAGCGCCTGGGTTTTCCAAACTGTTATCGGTGGCCGGTGGATTATGATCGTTAGTGTTACGCGCGCAGATTGTATCTGACGGCTTAATAATATTTATTATTCTGTAATCGCTGCCTGTCGCTCGGAATTGCATTCTTAAACGCGCCACTGCCATTAACACGTTTATTGGTACCTAGTTGGTATCCTGCACTGTTTTTTACCCTGCTTTTCAATTAATTCACCTCCTTTCTAGTTCTTTAGCCACATCTTCATTAATTGTTAGATACTTTGCTGTACGAGCAGTGACTCGAAGAAAGTGAAATGAACGTGATTTATCTGAAATTGATTATGGAATGAAACGAGATGAAATATTGATGTTCATTGCGACGAAATAATGCTCCAGTACAGAGACGGGCGCTTACTGAGACTTCAATGTAGTTTTATAAGTCGTCGTAGCCTAAAGGATAAGACGTCCGGTGCATTCCGGGTGGCGTAGCAACCTCCACTCCAAGAGGGAACGGCGCTCCGGCGAGGGAGTCATTCGAGTGCGGAGGCTCCAATCTTGGCGATGCGTGTTGGAGACGTGGTCCCGCCGTTTGTCTAACCTAAATAAAACAACGTATACGCATTGACGAGTGGCACAGTTTACATTTTTATTTAAAGCCATAGAACAAACAAACATGTCTACCGACAATGCAAGACAGATGGCAGCACTAGTAACATATTGTGTAGATATTAGACCTTTAACACCCCCACTATATCCAACAATATGGATATACAAAAGTATTAGAATCTTTGAATAAATACCTAATACATCGAAAAACTTATAATGTTTCACAACACGTAAAGCCTTCGTGAATATATCAGCTGACATCTCAGCTGTAGGCTGATACTTCACATTTACAATTTTATTTACTACACATTCTCTACAAAAGTGAAACTTAATGTCTTATGTGTTTTGTACGCTTGTGAAACATTGGATTCATAGTTAGCTTTTGTGCACTCTGATTATCGTTGAACGAATCAATGGTATACAAATTTTGTGTAATTTCACATAGTAGGTTTCTCAAATAAACAGCTCCTTATATGCTTCTGTAGCATCTGTAGCCACATAATCGGCCGCACTACTAGACAAGGCTACAGTAGTTTGTTTTTTAGTTACCCAAGAAATTACACAACCAGATAAATTGAAACAATATCCTGTATACGACTTCCTATTTATAACATTTGCACCCCAATCTACATCTACATATCCTTCTAATATTGAATTTCCATCAGCAGTGTAATTCAAACCGTAATTTTTAGTAAAATTAAAATATCTCAATAGACGCTTTATGCACGCATATGCACAATGTTCTCTAGAATAGCAATTGTTAAATTGACTCAAAAATCCAACAAAAAAATCTACTTCGTGTTCGAAGATTTGTATCTCGTCTTGTTGGCCGATTTAAAAGATCTTTTGCAATCGTTTTCACAGGCGGCTGCGCCGAGTACTTTAAAGTCCTCACCAAATAATTCTACGATTATTGCGGATACCGAAAACCTTGTTCGGTTACCGAGAATCGAATTGCCGAGATTCACTGGAAATTATAAAGATTGGCCTACATTTCAAGACTTATTTACCTCCTTAGTGGATAAGAACCCGGCTTTAAGTGACGTACAAAAGTTATATTACCTCAAGAGTACAGTCAGCTGCGAGGCAGAAATATTATTAAAACCTGTTCAAGTCAAAGAAAACAATAATAAAAAAGCATGGAATATTTTGAAGTCAAGGTATGGAAATAAAAGATTAATAATTAACTCAGTGTCTAAGAAGTTATTTAATCCAACTTGGGAGAATTTGAAAGATCGTGGCATCGTGGCTGTTATTCTGGACAACTGCATCCTGGGCTTGGACTTCATGAAGACGCATAGTTACGAGATTGACGTTAAACAAGGAGGATTAAAATGTGGTCCAAAGTATACTGCTTGAAAAGGAGTATCCTCCCTAGCCTAGGTCAGAAACGGTGGTGCCACAGAACTCAAACAGTAAACGTTGATGTGTTCTTATAGAAAGACTGGATGAGGGTCTACTGTGGAAAATGGCCCGAACCCTAGTGAGGACCACCAAGATTACGAATACTGAATCCAAGCAAGGCACAACAAGTAATCGACAAAGGCACTCTGTTAGGGACTTGCGAGGAAGTAGATTGGATGCGTAATTGTCAAGGCGTGGCATCTAGAAAAGACAGACAGACTAGAAAGTTCGACGTGTCAAAGGTCTCTGGCAATTTAAAGTTATGCCGTTCGGATTAACCAACGCTCCCACGACTTTTGTTAATGGAGCTAGTACACGCTGGATTGATTGGAGACGCCTGTTTAGTTTATTTGGACGAAATTATAATCGTGGGCCGCACATTTGACCACCCATTAACGACTCCCCTGCACTCTTACACCCGACGTCCGATCCCCTCCGGGGTCAGAACCCGGATGAGGTATAAAATCTAGAACGAGTGCTACTGAAAATTCGAGGGGCTAATCTCAAGTTAAGTCCGAAGAAATGTTCATTCTTCAAGCGGCGAGTAAGCTTCTTGGGTCATATGATTTCGGAAAAAGGTATAGAAACAGACCCGGAAAAAGTTGAAGCCGTTAAAGATTGGCCAGTTCCGATGGACAGGACACAAGTCAGAGCGTTTCCGGGTTTGTGCTCGTACTATCGACGGTTTGTCAAGAATTTTGCGGATGTAGATAAGCCTTTATATAAACTCATTTGAAGTTGTCGTGGCCTAAAGGATAAGACGTCTGGTGCATTCGTATCTAGCGATGCACCGGTGTCCGAATCCCGCAGGCGGGTACCAATTTTTCTAATGAAATACGTACTTAACAAATGTTCACGATTGACTTCCACGGTGAAGGAATAACATCGTGTAATAAAAATGAAACCCGCAAAATCATAATTTGTGTAATTACTGGTGGTAGGACCTCTTGTGAGTCCGCACGGGTAGGTACCACCGCCCCGCTTATTTCTGCCGTGAAGCAGTAATGCGTTTCGGTTTGAAGGGTTGGGCAGCCTTTGTGACTATACTGAGACCTTAGAACTTATATCTCAAGGTGTGTGGCGCATTTACGTTGTAGATGTCTATGGGCTCCAGTAACCACTTAACACCAGGTGGGCTGTGAGCTCGTCCACACATCTAAGCAAAACATAAAAATAAAAAGCGTGCGGAGCCAGCCCTACAGCCGACCGCGCGACTCGTTATTGGGTTGAACGCTTCTCACAAGGAAGCTTTGATCTAAAAAATGAACCCCGTGTTCGCTCAGAAACTAAAGTAGGTATACAGACAGACCGAGGAGAAAAGAACTTTTTGTTTGGGACGAGAGTTGTGACAGCACATTCCGGGAACTGAAGAAGCGTCTGTGCAATACGCCTATTTTGGGTTATCCTGATACGGACAATGACTTCATAGTTGACACAGACGCGAATAATACGGGAATAGGAGGCGTGTTATCTCCACGAATATGAGATCAAGAGGCGGTGATAGCTTACTTCAGCAAACCGCTATCAAAGCCGGAAAGAAACTACTGCGTGACGAGAAGGGAGCTACTGGCTGTAGTAAAATCATTACAGCATTTTATGAAATACTTGCTGGGACGAAAATTCCATTTGCGGACTGACCACGGAAAATGCTCGGGGAGACAAATGTCATTTGCAAATGATGGTCCCAAACGCGAAGGTACAAGACGTCCTACAGCTACACCACACAGGATTCTCGGGTGGACATTTGGGGGTAAAAAGGACGCTTTTAAAATTGCGAGAGCGATTTTACTGGATCCATTGCCGAGATGATGTTTAGGACTGGTGTCGCAAATGTACCAGTTGTGCTGCAGTTAAAGGTCCTCACACACGTAGCAAAGGTGCGCTGAAATTATACAACGTTGGAGAGCTGTGGAAAAGAATTGCATTAGACGTCGCCGGCCCGTTTCCGGAAAGTGACAGTGGAAACAAATACTTCATGGTGGTCATGGATTATTTCACCAAGTGGCCCGAAGTCTTTGCCATTCTAAATCAAGAAGCCTCGACGATCGCCGATAAATTAATACACGAAGTGTTCTGTCGGTTTGGAGTACCCCTAGAAATACACAGTGACCAAGGAAGGAATTTCGAGTCCCAGGTATTTCAAAAGACTTGTAGAGTCTTGGGAATCCACAAAACTAGAACCACATCTTGTCACCCGCAATCCGATGGAATGGTGGAACGTTTTAACCAAACATTTCAGAGATATTTGGCGAAAGTTGTGGAGAATAGGCAAAGGGATTGAGATAGACACATTCAACCGTTCCTTCTATCGTACCGCCGTGCAGTTCACGAAAGTACGACTGTGACGCCGGCTTTCGCAAGCTTTGGAAGAGAGTTGAGGTTGCCTGCGGACTTAATCACAGGCACTCCTCCCGACGCTCCTCGTAGTGTGACAGAGCCCAAAAATGATTTCCGCAGCAAGATGAATAGGTGCATGAGCATGTCAGACAGTCAGGCCAACAAACCTCTTCGAGGATGAAGACCCGCTACAACAGGAAAGCAAATCAGAAGGGATTTTCGGAGGGTTCCCTAGTGTGGCTACACAGTTCGAAACAAAGGGAAGTCTCCTAACTTACAGGCAAAATGGAGGAGGACCGTATAGAATTGTGACCAAAATTAATGACGTCATGTATCGAATTCAGAAAGGTCTGTGAGGTGTGCCTAAAGTTGTACATGTAGATCGATTGGCGAAATATTACGGGTCTAACGATGCTAGGGACGAGCATGTCTAAGGAGGGGGCAGTGTTACGCCGGTAAGAGTAACGCCATCTATCGTCGAACAGTCAAACGAATATAGAAGGATCTAGAATGCTCGAGAATTACAACGCCATCTATTATCAGATAGCGACTACTAGAGAAGTGTGGAATATTCTCGATAATTCTAGGGATGAGGTATCGGGTATAAAAGCGTTGTAGAGATGGCACGCAGACAGTCAGTAATCGGAACTACTCGAAGCGAAACAGCGAACGGATCACCTGAAGCGAAGTGGAACAAGCGAATTGAGAGTTTTAAAGTGTTTGTTGAGTGTTTTAAAGTATTTCTTGAGTGTTTAAGTGTTGAATACAGTTTTTAAATTGTACTTTGGTGAAATTATATTTATCCCGAACCCTCAGCCCGTAAGTTTAGGATGCTTAAACGACAAAGGGAAGATCTTCCACCGAGCGAGTGATATGCCCTCTGATTGCCCACAGCTTTGATTGCTTCCACAATAAGAAAATTAACTGCACGTGTAATCCTATCGAAAAAGTTAATTGTGTAAAATACCTAGGAGTAAAAATAGATACCTCTTTTTCCTGGGATTCCCACATAGAATACGTATGTGGAAAATTAAGAATATTACTAGAAAAGTTTTATTATTTAAGTATTAAAGTTCCATTGCCAATACTAAAATGTATATATTTTGCACTACTGGATTCCATAATAAGTTACGCTCTTGATTGCTATGGATTAACATTTAAAACATACATAGATAAAATAGAATCATTGCAAACAAGATTTTTAAAATAACTCGTAAATAAAAAGACAAAGAATCAATGTAAAGGACTCTAAACTCTATGAAATATGTAAAATTTTACCGGCTAGCCTGAAACATAAATATCTTCTACTTGTAAACAATCATAGTAAACAGGATCGTTTAACTAACTTGGTGCAACATAAAACTGGCACAAGGTCAATGTCCAAGGGAAAATTTGAAATACCCGTGGTGCAAAATTACTATGGAGATAGAACGTTAAAAAAACGTGTTCCATACTTACTCAACAGTTTACCCGAGGACATTAGACGTGAGCCTATACTTGCTAAGTTTAAAAGCTTATTAAAAAAACATTTGTTAAATACGTTGTAACCATTTACGTAAATTAATTGTGTTATTATAGTATAAGCTAGTTGAATGGTTTATACGCTATGTTTGTATAAAGCAAGTTACCTGCAGTCAAACTGCGTAAGCAGTTTTGCGGGGCATGTTTTGAATGTAAGTGTAACTTTTTATGAATAAATATATTACATACATATTGCTTTGTAGACTGACGGTCCGAATGTTGTTCGGAACTTGTATAGGTATATGCAAGCTTCTCTTGAAAATGTCGTAAGCGAGATTCATATATGATGGCTACTGCCACACAATAGTACCTATGTATAAGTATGAAATTATTAAATTAATAAAAACTTAATTATTAATTATTTTAATTATTAATAATTATTTTCATTATAAATAATAAAGTAACTAACATTACCATTTATATATAAACATTATATTAATAATAATTAAATAGTTTTTGGGTCGAAAAGCGCCTTCAAATCTATGGAGCAATATGCGTAAACGAAGCAGCCAATACTTTTAGTAGACTAATAATAAATTATATTGATGTTTAGATGTGTTAGGGTTCTAGGAGACGCAGTCTGTATTTTACGCTGCCTAGCGACTGTTGAGCGACTGCCGAGCGACTACCGAGAGGCACCCATGGGCCGGTCCGCAGTGCCCGACCCTCTACTTACAGAGACATAAACTTAGTGTCCCAATAAACATACTTTAACAACTGGATCATGAATAAATCTTGAAACATTTGGTAAGAGCCGTTAATGCTTAGATCAGGCGGCTAATTCACACGACACGCCGGGCCCACCCAGACGCAAACAAGGTCTCGTCAATTTATTATCTATGATGATTTGATGAGCAGTGGGATTATTTTCGCAATTTAATTTTATCATCATTTACATGTAAAATTAATTAAATTTTGAAATGATACTTTTGTTGAGATAAGATACTATTTTTGCAAGTATAAAAGACACCGAAGTGATGACTGACAACATTCTACTCGAGGGAACCTTTAAACTGGTAGTAGCCATGAAGGTCTTCGCAGCAGTACTGATGGCGTTGGCGGCCGTGGTCGTGGCAGAAGAGCCCATCGAACTCGACTACCACAACAAGATCGGTATCCCCCGGGCCGAGAGTCTTAGACGCGCCGAGGAAGCCGCTGACTTCGACGGTACCAGGATTGTGGGTGGTTCTGCCGCCAACGCTGGTGCTCACCCCCATCTTGTAAGTACCTACTGCTATCCAATACGCTCCTACCGATTTCAAACTTTGCCAATTAGCCATTTAATTATTATTATTATTATTATGTATTAAACACTGCCTCGCCTGGGAAGACGGCAGGACACACTCCGGCGAGGTGGGCAACAATCGGCCGGAGCGTTAGGGACTATTGGGAGAGAAACCGGCGAACTATACGGGCATTGTCGAGCAAGACTGCTTTTTGCATTTGGGCCACCACCGACTTTTTGTTGAGACCAAGCCTCTCGAGATGTTTTGAGAGGCTTTTAGGGACCAAACCATTCACCGACACAACTACCGGGATTATTTCTGTAGATACCACCCTCCACATGTCGGTCACCTCGTGCGCCAGGTCCAAATATTTGTTCTTTTTATCTGCCTCGGCCCGCACGAGTTTCTCGTCGTAGGGGATGGTGATATCCACCAGAAATACCTGAGACTCCGTCTGGTCCATCAGCACGATATCAGGCTTATTCGCAAGAATAGTCCTGTCCATGATGATGGTCTGGTCCCAGCAGAGCTTGTTGCGGTCGTTTTCGAGTACGGCGTCCAGCTGATACTTATAATACGGTAGCCTCTGTTCGATGAGGCCATACTTAAGGGCGAGTTTTTGGTGGAGGATTCTGGCTGCTTGGTTATGTCTGTGTAAGTACTCAGTGTTAGCAAGTATAGAACAACCACAGGTGATTCACCCGGTCGGCGGCATAATCGACAGATGTCCGCCGTCCCATCCCTCAGAATGTGCTTCCTATAGTTGTTCGTCCTGATAACCTGATCCTGTATTGCACAGACAAAACCCTCGGTTTCCCAAAAAAGGTCACCGAATCGCAGCCAGTGCACGGAGGCTTCTTTGTCCACGTGGGGCTCATGCAGTGCCTGAAAGAAGCGTCCGTACAGCTCTTTCCCTTTTCATATGGCCTCACGGTCAGAGGTACTGAGTACGGCCGGTGATTGCCACCCGTCTCTGGCCAGGGCTAGCGGGGTCAGTCCTTTGTCGCATTCCATGACCTCTCTGTGCATCACACTGTCAGCCCTCGATAGGAAATATTCCCTGAGAGACTGCACACCCCACTATTATGCATGACCTTGGCGCTAAGTAGGCCCCGGCCACCACACTTCCGCGGAATGTACAATCTCATTACCGAGGACTTCGGGTGGAGCATCCTATGGAGGGTCATAATTGAGTGGACTTTTCTGTCCAGGGCGTCCAGTTCGGTCTGAGTCCACCTAAGCACGCCGAAGGTATACAACAGGACGGGCATCACCCAGCCGTTAAACGTCCTTGTCTTATTCACGCCCGATAAAAGGCTCTTACACACTTTTGTCAGGCGTTCATAAAACACGTCGCATGCAGCCTGTTTGACGACCGCCACGTCAATACCTATATTTTGCGACATGCCCAGGTACCGGTATGTTTCTCCCTCGGAGAGTACCCGAAGACTTATCCCATCGGATACAGGTAAACAATCCGATGAGACTATTCTCCCTCTCTCTACATGGAGAACCGCACACTTGTCGACTCCCAGCTTCATCCTAATGCGACTACTGAAATCACAAGTGACGTCAAGCAGTCGCCTGAGGCCTGCAGCATGAGGAGCGTACAACTTGGGTTATCCATGTAGAATAAGTGGGACACCTTCAAGCCCCCCCTTCGGAACGGAAAGCCTGTCCTCGAAGCCTCCAGTAATGAACTGAGAGGATTCAGGGCCAGGCAAAGCAACAATGGACTCAGACAATCACCCTGAAATTTACCCCGATTCACCTTTATTCGGGTCTTCCACAGCCGACAGCCGAACACCGGATAGACTAAGGATTGTACTCCATTGCCCCATACAGGCACCGAGGAAGTCTCGAACTGTAACGTCTATCTTATACAGCCTGAGGACCCTCTTCAGCCATGTATGGGGGACCGAGTCAAATGCCTTTTTATAGCCTATCCAGGCGGCAGAGAAATTTCGTCGGTTGTGTTTGACCTGCTGGCCAGATACCGCGTCGATTATTATTATTATTATTATTCTACCTATTCACTGGGAGCCTAGGGGGCTGTTCCAACTTCCCGCGAACGGTTGGGTGAGCTTACAGATTTAAGTTGATAGAATTAACTAACACCAGTCCTAGCAAGAGCGGTGCTTCGCAGAGTCTATCACCGAATCGGAATCGCGTCCTACTGAGAAGATCCGGTGAGACACTCAGTGGGCTGTGTCCACGTGTCTACCGCGGGATCCATAACTGTGTTAGGCCAGAGGAGAGTTGGCGACATGTACCCTCCTGCTGGGACTCTCCGGCCGTTAGCGCACTTCTCTAACAACGATAAACTAAATTGTATATTGTTATTTGAAATGTACAATGTTATTCCGCATCAAAATACTTGATTTTTCTTATTTTTCTCATATCATAGGCTGGACTTGTGATCGCTCTCACGGATGGCAGAACTTCCATCTGCGGAGCTTCCTTACTGACCAACACCCGCTCCGTGACCGCTGCTCACTGCTGGAGGACCAGGAACGCCCAGGCTCGTCAGTTCACCCTCGCTCTTGGCACAGCTAACATCTTCTCCGGAGGCACCAGGGTCACCACCTCCAATGTCCAGATGCACGGCAGCTACAACATGAACACCCTCCACAACGATGTCGCCATCATCAACCACAACCATGTTGGTTTCACCAGTCAGTACCATTATTTGTTTAAGTATAATCAATCATTTTAGATTTCCTACACCTGTAATGTGATTCTGTCTACTTCACCTCATTACAGACAACATCCAGCGCATCAACCTAGCCAGTGGAAGCAACAACTTTGCTGGTACTTGGGCCTGGGCTGCCGGCTTCGGAAGGACCTCCGATGGTTAGTATTTATCATTACTGAAAAAAAAAAACAAATATTTAATGCTCTCATTTTATATTCTGCGTTGACTCCGCGACTAGAAGGCGCCATGAGAGAGTGCTGATAAAATTCATTGACCATTCCAGCTGCTTCGGGAGCCAACAACCAACAAAAACGCCAAGTGAGCCTCCAGGTCATCACCAACGCCGTCTGCGCCCGCACGTTTGGAAACTCTGCGATCATTGCCTCCACCCTCTGTGTTGACGGCTCTAACGGTCGCAGCACCTGCAGCGGAGACTCCGGCGGCCCTCTCACCATCGGCAGCGGCGGAAGCCGTCAGCTGGTCAGTACAGTAGTTTTGTTTAATTTTACTACTGCTTTAACTGGTTGCCTATAGATTCTCTGTTTGCTTATTTATTAGGGTAGCCTTTTATGACTCACTACATTTCCCATTTGTTTCTTGTACTTTCCAGATCGGTATCACATCGTTCGGATCAGCCCAAGGTTGCCAGAGAGGCTTCCCTGCCGGCTTCGCCAGAGTCACATCCTTCAACTCCTGGATCCGGGCTAGAATTTAACTGACGAATGACCAATGATTCAATTATAAAGTGATTTCATTAACAAAAAAAAATCTTTTTTTTCGTATTTTTTTTATTTTTTTTTATTGCTTAGATGGGAGGACGAGCTCACAGCCCACCTGGTGTTAAGTGGTTACTGGAGCCCATAGACATCTACAACGTAAACGCGCCACCCACCTTGAAATATAAGTTCTAAAGGTCTCAATATACCTAGTCAGGTCATAAATTCTGTCACATGTTTAATGTAAAATAATTGAAACAAGTTTATTCATTATGTAACCATTCATATACCAAAATGAACTTAACAAAACATAGATTCTTATGACACTAAAGTTTATTCAAAATGACCTCCGTGATTTTGAATACAGGCCTTCAATCTGCGCGGCCAGTCGTCTATCGCANTGGGAGTTGAACCTCACTAAAAACTCCTGCCGCTCACAGCCGGCGCCCTACCCCGGACCGGGTGGGAACCCAGTCGGAGCTATTGAGACGGCGGGACAGGGTTTACGCAGAGCATATTACATCCATCCCGCCGTCCCCCAGACGCCGGACCGGCGGCCGCCAGCGACACGACCGCCGGTTCCCTCGGTCGACGGGCCAAGAGCCCGCACAAGACTTTATAGATCACTTTCCTAAATTTTTTTATTTTTTGGCCTAGTAGTTTTTCCGAAATTGAAATTACAAAATTGTGTAATAAAACAAGTATTAAACTGACACCAAATTCTACCCCCTTTTTGCCTAATTAAATTTCGATTTTTTTTTTAAATTGTAGTTGGTTCCTTGACAAAAAACTGGTTCGCGAATACCCTCAAATGAGGAAGGATATAAGGAACTTCCTGGCGGTTCAGTCAGACAGGGGCCAGTGCCAGCGTGTCCTCTACGAGCTCAGCAAGCGAATGATATGCTTGGAAGCAGCAACAAAACCACTGTGGCGTGTATATAACTAGTCAGGTCATAAGTATTGTCACACAGTAAAAACTTTTCTTTTAGAATGCTGGCCACAAAAAAGTTTATTGAATTCGAATTTCGAATTGTTCATGAAAATAAAAATGTAGTATACATTAGAATTTTTTAGAATTATTTAGAATTTTACTCATTTTTAAATATGGAGTGGACGCTTAAAGAAGACCGTGTTGCAGTTATTGCATTGCATCGTTGCGGTTACGCGCCGTTTCAAATTTTTAACATACTGAAAATTTTGAATATAACCAAAAGATTCGTTTATCGTACCATCAAACGATACAATCAAGACCCTAGTGTAGATGACAGGTCAAGAAGTGGTCGCCCTCGGTCTGTTAGGACTCCAGCAGTGATAAAAGCTGTGAAGGCGCGAATTCAAAGAAATCCCAAACGTAAGCAGAAACTGTTGGCCCTTCAGATGGGGTTAAGCAGAACCACGGTGAAAAGGGTGTTAAATGAAGACTTAGGGCTTCGGGCATATCGAAGAAAAACAGGACATCGTTTGAATGCTCGTCTAATGGACCTGAGACTGAAGAGATGCCGCGCTTTGTTGAAGCG